AAAAACATCTCATATCACTTGTTTATTAGAGAAAATTCAATTTTCCATTATCTGTGATAAGAGCAACACTAGGACTATCGGGACATCCGATTAATAGGCATTATTTCCCAGCGGAGCGTAACTAACATTTTTAGACACATATGAATGACCCCTAATATAAAATCACTTTTCCTATTATACAGTCCTATTGTATTGCTTTTTACGATAACAATAGAGTCTCTCTATTATTATGACTATTATATTATATGAGCAGTAGTTTTGAATGATATTGAAGAGAGGGTGGAATGCAATTCGTTTTATGCCTATAATATAATTTTGATTTAAACTACTTTTTGATGCAAATTTCAATGTCGAGGATATCGTATATATTAAATGAGTTGTTTTTTAATACACACATAGAGTACCGGATTCTCTCACAATCAGTAGACACACACTCACTCACTCTCTCGCTCTCATGATATATCGGGAGATGTAATTTATGCCGGGAATAAATTACTCAAACATTAAACAATAAAAACCTTAATTAAACAAACAAGAGATTACAGGAATTGATTAATTCTAATCTCATTTATAAGAATTCCCAAAACGGATACACAATTGGTTGTAATTCCAGTATTACTAAGACATCACTCCAACAATGACACGAGTTGTGCAATCATTATCACTAATTGTATCGGAATTTTGTACAAATAATATATATAAAGCACTTCAATTGATTCATACATTACAATAACATATTTCTCTAATGACTTGAAAGTGATTTCTAACGACTTAACACTTATGAACAAATTTTCATTAATTAACACATAATTTTTAGGCCTTTTATTAATTTTACAAAAGAAATACTTAATTAAATTGTGATTATTTAAATTAGTTTCAATATTCAACTGATAAAATGGTATAAATGATTGATTAAATACTCGTATTATTGTATAAATGAATTAATATTTCATTCATCTCTTTGTTTATTTCCTTCAAGAGTTCACTCAATCTGAACGTCAAAAACAATAATTACAGCAATTCTTGCGTTGAGATGAAGTGGTTTATGAGTCCAGAGAAAAGTGATGTGACTTTTATAGTGGAAGGAAAGCGAGTGCCGGCCGTTAAGGACCTATTGATACACAAGAGTCCGGTCTTCGAGGAAATACTAGACGACTCGTACGATAAGGAGATCGAAATCGATGGCATCACATACGAGGCGTTCAAAAACACCATTAGATTCATATACTGTGAACACAATTATCAATTAAGCGACGAAAGTGAACCAACGCTAGCGATGCAAGTGTTTCTCTGCGCCCGGAATTACAAACTCCAGTATCTAATGGATTGCGTGGAACAGAAGCTCATTCACATGACAAACATGGATAACATTGAACTCACCTATAAATTCGCCACTATTTATGGTTTAGACAAATTCATTAAATCGTTTCACTCGATGATGGAAAACAAGTTGTCTGTCATTCTGGCGAAGCCCGACATTTTCATCAAAAGCCTCAACACAATCACTAATAACCATTTATTAGACGTTATAATTAAGTCAAAGAACAAAGAGATTCAGGAATTAAATGACAAAATCACTGCAATTACCGCCGAATTTAAAAAGTCTAAGGAATTGAATGATAAGCTCATTGCGAAGAATAGGGCATTACTTGGCAATGAATATTAATTATTTATTTGATAAGATTTTACACAATAGATAAAACTCTATTTTTATAATAACTATATAATAATTATAGATAATAAATAACTTATTTGTACAGTAAATGTAAAAATTACAATTTTATAAAAATTATTTAAAATAAATATTTATAAATACATATTTAATTGTTCGTAATTGACGTCAAATCGTGACTCAATTGTACTGAAAGCCTCTTTTTGATATTACTATTGAAATTATTGATCGGTTTTTGAGTGATTTTGAGTTTTTCGAGAAACAACTCTCCGAACGACTCATAGGAGTCGAGTAGTTGTGGTTCGGGAATCAATTGATGCATTTCTTGCCCACAAAGACCCCAAACATAATAATTGCCGCTTTCGGTGAGAGCGGCCGAAAACGAGTACGAATTGTCGGTCTCGATGTCCACGAATTTGTCCCAATGTTTGAGCTTTTTTGGCAAATACTGATCACTGGTTTTGGTTCTCATTCCCAGTTCTCCGCATTCATTGCAACCGAAAGCGTAAATATAGCCCTCTTTGGACAGCAAGAGGTTGTGATCAAAACCGGCCCTTATTTTCAGTATTTTGCTCTCAATGTGAATGATTTGTGTGGGTTTTGTAATACTGCCCACCCGTCCGATGCCCAACTGTCCGCACTCGTTGTTACCCCAACTGTAGACGTGGCCCGACTCTGTCAGCGCCAGCGAGTGATAGGCGCCCGAAGCGATGCCAATCACTCGCTCGCCGTCAAAGGCCGTCAAGAGTTTGGGTTTGAGGGCAGAGGTCTTTGCGCCGCCATCCGCGACGGTATAGCCCAACGTATTGTCGCCCCAGTAATAGACACGACCGCCAGCTGTCAGCGCCAGTGTGTGATAGAAACCGGTGCTGATGGCTGTGATGAACTCGCTCTTCAGATACTTGTTCTTTTTGGGTTTATACAGATTGTCATTACGTCTTCCGTCGCCCAACACTCCGAACGAGTTGTAACCCCAGGCGTAGACCCGGCCGTCAGTGCTTCTGGCGATCACGTGTTGAAACGAGAACTGAAAGTCACACAAACTTTTGCCGTTAAGATTCTTGTTGTTCGTGAACTTATTGACGGAGTTTTTGTGTCCGAAACCCAGAACTCCGGACGCGTTTCCGCCGAAACCGTAAGTCTTGTCATCGCTTGTGATTAAGAAAGCGTTCGTTACGTTCTGGCAGTCATTGAACACGAATATAGTTTTGGTGTTTTTGAATGAACTGATGTTAAAGTTGTGCAAAACTTCCAACCCTTTCGACGAATTGATATTTATTGTTGAAGACATGGTTTGAATACTTTTGGTTTTGAATATCATTTATTAAGTGATGATTTGTGCGAACTATTCGTCTATTTATATAATTGTGATTAAAATCAAAGCTAATTATTTTATAATTTGTGATTGAAATTACGTAAAACCTTAATGACGGCCCGACTTTAATTGTCTCCAATAAAACAAACGCAGTATCTATTGTATAATACATTTATTATTTTAAAAGTAGACTCAAATTGCATACATATACACCTGAATGTTGTTTGTTTCTCAAAATTTTCTTATGTTTCTATTACTTTATAAAAAAAACTGTTGTATTCTTTATACTTTAAACTTTGTTATATCACAGGATTCTTGGGTATAGTATCTGTCAATTCCTGAGTTCACTCGTATTTATTGACAAAACTTCATAACTTTGTAATTATAAAACTTTATTATTACTAAAGAAAAATAATATTTAGCTTTTGCCACAAAAGGATGTTTTTTCGTCAAGTGAGAGGATATTTATAAAAATATTTACAAAGTTGTAAATCATATTTTTAGATTACAATTATTACTATAATAGCAAGAAATACACATTTATTTTGTAATACTGTACGAAATGTGTGTAATATGTGTGGGATTTATCGTCAATGCTTTTGCAATGGCTTTTTTGTGTCTTTTATAAATATTATAATTATGACTTAATTATTTGGGTTTTTATTGTATTTTAATCATAAATTACAATAACTTTCAACAAATCATCCAAAAATATGATGTATTTTGTAAACAATTTTATTATAATTATATTTATTAAAAAGCTATGAATATTTTAATTTAAACATGTCTTAAAATAAGGTGAAAATTTCTATTGAGAAATCTGTTTTTAATTAAATAATGATTTATATGGCTTTTGAGATGACTATCGCTTTTAACAATTCTTTCAAAGATGTCATTTATAGCATCCTTTTAGATAAGTTTTTATTACTTTTAATTAAGACATTAAAAGTACTTTTATTTGTTATTCGTAAGAGTGTTGTCAAAATGATATTCGTTAACCTTACAGAATAAACTAGTTGCTACTCATTAACACTTATTAATTAACATTATTTGCACCGTATGTACAAATATTATGAATCTATCATATGATTTTATTGCATGTTTAATTAATTATACAATTACATAAGTTGTACGTCATGGTATATTAATTATTATTGCCCTCAAATAAATGTTATTTTCTTGTATAAATATTTTTGTGATTAAATTCACACACAATTTGTTTCACAATATTTAATGCTTTGTGACAAACATTTAATTTAATTAAAAGGGTTTTGTATTATTTAATCATATTTATTGAATGGAAAGTCATATTTAGATTAATCATAATGAGAGAGAGAGAGAGAGCGGTTTTTGTGAGCATTCGCTGGACATATCAAATGATTGATAACTTTTGTTTCGCCAAACCGTATATTGATATAAATTGATGACAAGAATCCAAAAGAATCCCGATATCCATAAGAAATGATAAATTTTATACGAATGTGTTGTTCAGTACTCCATATATAAAATATAATGCATTTATTTTGGGAATAAATTGAAACTCTTTTTATTTTGCTGTAGAAAACAATGTATTTCTCACTGAAATAATAAATAAGTTATAGAAAAGTTCAATTCTCTAATTTTATATATTTTCCTCTTTGGGTTTCGTTCAATACGTGATATAAAAATAAAAACTTTCAAACATTTTCTCTTCGAAATCCCAAAAAAACATTTGTTTTATTTCTTTTTGTGTCAAATAATAACAAAGAATTTCCACACAATGTATACATTGAGGCAAAAAACGTAATACTCTTTATATTATCCTATATATTAATTTAATTATGTTGGTGAACTGTCCGCATAACAATATAAATGGAGGGCATGAAACAATGATTACTAATTTAATTGATTTATTTTTAACGGAAAATGGCAGCGCGCGGAGATTTTCATTATTGAAAAAAGGTTTTTGATCCGTTATTGTTAGCGCGTGGGGCTGTCATTGTTGGCCACAATTCCCATTGAGAAAACAAAGTAAATAATTTTGAACGTCCCCTCACCTAATACGGTACTTATGATGGCCGGGGCTACCAAACGGGTGTATAACTATAACGAGCGCCTCGGCCACTGTACTAACGGGTCTCAGGCAATAACAAATGACTTGCCCAATTTACATACGGGTACCGGGTATACTCAACGCCACGTGTAATGTACCCAGGCGTCCCACGTATAGCCAACGCCACAGGCAATGTACCCAGACCTCACAGGTATAATCAACGCCACGGGTAATGTACCCAGGCGTACCAGGTATAACCAACGCTACGGGCAATGTACCTATGACTATCAGGTATAACCAACGCCCCGGGAAATTTACCCAACCCTTTCATAAGCAAGTTTAACTCTCTATTTATATTGTTTAAGTTATATTAAGTTGGTTTAGGTTAAGTTAGGCTAAGTTAGGTTAGGTTAGGTATGCAGGTATGGGTGGGCAGCGTAGGTTTTAGGGAACAAAGTCATCTAATTGATCAAAATATAATGGTTACAGGACGGGGATATGCTAGTATAACATTATTTAAGTTTCCTTCTGTTAAGTTAAATACACATTAATTTATAAAGCGTTTGTATTTTATCTATTCTCTGCCCTTTTGTCTGCAACACAAGTAATAGTTATACAATACAGACAAAAGCACATACTATACAGTGAAATGTACTCAATGTTTGAATTTCAAACTCAAATAACTATCAATCAATGTCTGGATTGTGAGAGAAAACACAAATTCTTGTCATCCATTGTGTATATGCAGTGTCTCTACTCGTCTACCCCTTCACAGCACCTCCACGTCTGCGACACTCTATTATCACTTATTGTTTTCAAATCTTATCATATATTTTGTAATATTCTGTAAATTTTAAGTTTTTATCATTTAAAGTACATAAAAGGAGATTCTTTAAAATAACTTCATTACTATTGTTAGCATTTTTCTAATCATTATGTTTTACATTAAAATTCTTTAGTTTTCAGTAAATATTTTTGATATTCAATTGTTTTGACGAAACATCTGAAAAAGCATTTAATTGCCATTGTATTAACTGATGATCACTGGATTAGTACTGCAATGACATAAACACAATTCACAGACAACCAGTGAAAGCACCGGTATATCAATCATACAATTGAAAATTAATTAAATATTTTCATAAACATATCATTGGATGACTCCTTAGGCATAGAGTGAACACAAGGACACCAACAATAGAAATGCTATTTAACCACTAAAATAATTATAATGAAATCTCAAATATTTCAAAATATATGAACATTTTTTGTGTGTTCTCTCATTCATACGAAAATATACTTTTTCTTTACGCTTAAGAGAAAGTAAAAACTTTATAAAAATAATAAATTATAAGTAATTTGTTTAGAAAAATGATTTGGCATTGAATTTGTGATCAAATTTAAAGTTAACATTTTGTGCGTTGAATAAAGAGTTTATAGAGTAGTAAATAATTACATAGTTTTCTGTATATATTGTGCCACAAAATTAATTTCTTTTTCAACAATCATTACAACCGCTCTTTGATTCTGAATGCGACGACTGATTGCTGTAATAAATACACATTTGTTTAATCAATGATAAGAAAATACATAATAAATGGATTCTAAGAAATGTGGAGAAAACGTTAAGACGGCTCTAATTATTAT